TGATTGTATTTATCATAACTTTTGAGTAAATTTCTATTTTTGTGTTAAGATTTCAAATGTATTTAAAACTTTGATTTGTTTTTCTTATGTTTTTTGTTTATTTTGTATAATGTATTCATAATCTGTTAAATGATTTTATAGTTTTACGATTAAGTCCATTACAATATAACCGGTAATAATCTGTTGTTTTTTCGCTTTACCGGTACTATTCGTGTACAGTATTTCTTATGAAACAATTATCAAACTTATGTTAAGTATTAAGTATTGCCTTTAATTACGTTTTTGTATTACTTTTGTTATATTAAACAAATAAATAAATATAAATAAATCTATAATTTATAAATCTTATACCGTAAATAAATCTTAATATCATTCATTGTGATGTCAGTGTATGAATGGTTGGATTTTAAAAATATAATTATTTGAAACACAGCGCCAAATGTTTGAGGCATTGGTTGCGAACCAATCACATGACGTGAATGCTTAGCATTGTTTACTATACCGTCATATTTGTAAACATAACACAATTGCCGCAAAACTTAACCATTCACTGCATTCAAGATCATTTCATCATTTAAGTGGTGGTTGTGGTGACAGACACACAGACACACCAGTGATGGCAAAGTGTGTCAAACTGATGGTCTGGAACAGAGAGCCCGAAACGGTTGCGCTCATCAAAGGCCTCATGGGATCAGTCGTGGAGATCGTGCAGACGGATGGCAATCGTGTGGTGGGAACTGTTGACAACTACACCCTATCCGATGGCGACTACGTGTTTGAGTTGATCCGCACCTCAATTGGTGGCAAATTTATCGGTTACTATCGGATCTTTGACTGCGAAGTGAAGAAATGGAGGCTTAAGGAGTGGACACCGCCGAAGAATGGCACCCATTATATGGACAACACGTCTATTAACGGGTATTTCGATGTCTTATTTATGTGGTAAATGTTTTGACACTTTCTCTGCGATGGCCAGTAGTGTGAACTCGGGATCAGATGAGTCATGCAAAGTGATAATACCGTCGCAACTGAATGGCAACGCAGAGGAGGAGCCGATGGTGGAGGAGAACGAGGCGGACCACCTGTTTGTCAACCCGGAGGTCGAGTCCATAAATCTGCTGGAAGATGACATTCCCATTGCCATCAATTTAAGTCATTTGACTCTTAAGACGAGCGACAATCTCGTAGTTGTTGACAAAATGGGTGACAATTTGGACGCAATTATTAACTCAATGATGGCATCAAATTGTGTTGGCTTTGAACTGTTCGGCGAAGAGATCGGTCGTAACGGATCCGTTGAGTGGATGTCTGTGGCGACCGCAGAGGCCATCTATGTCTTCAACGCTCACAATAAGGACATTGTTTTGTCACTAAAACCAGTGCTACAGTCGAGAGAAGTACGGAAAGTTGTCTTCAATTGCAGGCATCTTTCGGACGCTTTGTATCACTTGTTTGGCATCCAATTGAAGGCCGTAATCGACATCAGAGTCTTTGATCTCTTCGTCCAGAGAAAGCGCGCGAATGAAGCGCTCGAGAATCACATGGCTTTCCATCTGCCGAAGTTGCGAACCTTCGATGAGATACTGTCGGATCAGTTGATGATAAAAGTACCGCAACTCTACAAGAATCTCAATTACAAGCACTTCTCAGTTCGTGTCCAGAATGCCATAATAATAAAGACAGTATTCCTGAGACAACTGTACGCTCTTCTGAACCACCAGTTGCTCGAAGAACTCATTATAATGACCGCACGGTGTGAGCGATCCCTGCGCTTAGCCAATGACCTCCAGTACGGTGTCTTGAAAGGGGACGACGCGCTCAGCCATATGCTGGACGAGCCCATCAATGACTGCGAGCGCACAGAGCGCCGACACATTGGTTTGCCTGCCGTCCACCTCTCAAAGCCACTCAAGCGGTAGCCAATTGTTTCAGTTCTTATGGCAATCACTCACTCATAAGAATTAGTTCCTAATTATTATCATATCTTCTTAATTACACTCATTTGATCACTCATTTTCAAATCATTCAGTCAAAC